AGTATATCACTTAATTGATAAACCCCTGTGTTAAAATTTTGGTGTTAAAACGCCTTCCTTTTTAAAAATATTATTACATTGCTTTTATAATTTTAAAAAGTTTCCAAAACTGCAAAGAACTCTGGCAAGTGCTCACCTAACCAATCTACTGATAAAGAGGTATAAAGAGAATGTAACTTTCCTGAAGGCAGGGACTTTGCCTGTCTTATTCACTGCTGTGTATCTACATCCTGTAATAGTACCAGACTCAGTAAATATTCATTAAATGAATGAATGGCTAAAACAAGATAACCATGATGTTCTTAGTTTTATGGGAATAAGCATTTTTTTTTAAACTTGGTTAATTTAGAAGTCAATTTAATTTTTACTATTATGGTTCATGATACATTTGTTTTCTTTATTCTTATAGGCTATATATTTTCTTCAGGCTCCTTGGTGATATGAAAGTGTTACAAAGTTAGTCAGAGGCTTTCCTAACAATGACCTGTTCTTTTAGAACCACATGGTCAAAGAGCTGGAGGCCCGTGTGCAGCAGCTGACTGGAGAAGCAGAGAACAGTAATTTACAGAGGCAGAAATTAATTCAAGAAAAATCGGAACTTGAAAGATGTTACCAGATAACATGTAGTGAATTACAAGAAGTAAAGGCAAGGTAATGTCTGAAATCAGATGTCTATCAGGCGTAGCTATAAAGTGCTGATATTAACTATAAATTATTAGCCAAAATTATCTTGTGCATTTAACCTTGAGAAGTTTCTAACCTAAATACCACTGTTTATTTTTTTAAAGTCCCTTGTAACATAAGTATAATGCTTAGAAGCAGCTGATAAAAATGTTGATACTTGTTTGATATATTGAATGATAATATATTTGGATTTAGTTGATTAAAAAATTCCATTTTAGAGATTGGTTCTAAATATATTGGAAGTCTATTTTATTCTCTTACTGCTTTTAGGCGCAATGCACTGCATAAAGAGAAAGATCATCTTGTAAATGATTATGAGCAAAACATGAAACTATTACAAACCAAATATGATGCTGATATAAACCTTCTAAAACAAGAACATGCTCTTTCGGCTTGTAAGGTATTGTGTGTGCTGGTAGATACATCCACCCAAAGTAGTTATTTTACTTGCTTATAAGTTATGGATAGCCACGAAGAGATTATTTGACATTTGAAATTAGTCTGTCCTTCACTTTATCCTTAAAATAACAGAAATTTCAAGAATTTTTACTGACATTTAAAATATTGAAAATGCCAAATGTCTAATAGATAGTACAACATAAATATTTAATAAACTGAATTCTGATGTTAGCCCTTTTAAATACCAAAGTTTTTAAAGAAGGAAACACATAAATCCCAAGAAGAAATGCTTAGTTGTGTTAATAAGACATTTTTCAGAGTAACTATATACATTATTATTACTATTATTTTGAAATCTTGGATTCTTCTTTAGTTTTATAATTAAAATTTGAAAAGACTTCTGTAAACCTATTTTTTATATCAGTGTTACATTTCATAACATTAAATACTATATAGCATTTAATTAGTTTTACTTTAAAGGATTTTATACTGTCTTTTAAAAACATTTTCTATTCAGATTTATAGACAATTTTAATTCTGATTGAACTTTTAGGGGAAAAAAGGTAATTTTTCAACCAGAAGTTATAAGATTGTACAAAAATCAATATTCTACTTTTTATTCTTCTTCTTAAAATCCTTGTAGTCATCTGGTATGATTGAGGAATTAGAACAGAACATCTGTCAATTAAAACAGCAGTTACAGGAATCAGAACTTCAAAGAAAGCAACAGCTAAGGGTGAGTCTTGTATTTCTACACAGAACAATGGCCAAACACACCTTTTCTTTTCTT